CTATGGAATGCATGCGTGCTTAGTCGCTCAGTCGTGTCTGACTCTCTGCGACTCCAAGGACTGCAGCCCACCTGGCTCCTCTGTCCGTGGGATTCTCCAGGCAAGAATACTGGAGTGGGTTGCCATTTCCTCCTCCAGGGGATCTTCCTGACCCAGGGATCGAACCCGCATCTCTTGTCCGTCTCCTGCATCGGCAAGCAGGTTCTTTTCCACTAGTGACACCTGGGAAATAAGGCTCTCGAGACATGCACCCAAAATGCTAAACTTCTTCCAGAAAAGCAGCTGGTGCGACTCTTTGAGCTGAGAGCGGTAATGGATATGTTTTTTCACGAAACATCATTGACATTTGACAGAATGACCGACAGGCAAGCTCATTATTCAGACTCGGGTATCGGGCAGACATTTCCTCAAAAGTGAACAAAGTCAGCCCGTCACTTCAAGGGAAGCAATTCACAGCATTTGTTGCCAATAATATTTGAGCTTTGAAGCCAAACTTCAAATTTTGGAGAACTTTGACCCACCACTCTGAGCATGACAGTTCTTTATGAGGTGGTGGTAAAAAGGTGATTAAAAAAAAAACTTTTTTTTTTTTTTGTTGCTGTGGACCATTTTTAAAGTCTTTATTGAACTTGCTACAATACTGCTTCTGTTTTATGTTTCAGTGTTTTGGCTTGAGGCATGTGGGATCTTACCTCCCAGACCAGGGATTGAACCGGCGCCCTCTGCTCTGGGAGGCAGAAATCTTTCGCTTTGGGAGGTGAAATCTTAACCGCTGGACCACCAGGGAAGTCCCAAAGGTGAGTCTCTGATACGACTCAATGAAACGTGATGTTCAGAATATCAGCATACCTCAGGCATCCCGTATGCGCCAACGACCAATGTCTGAGGTTACAGAACCACAAGTGTAAAAGGTCCGTTCCGAGCACAAGATGGGCCAATGGCTTTCACTGTGACTGAGCACAAAGGTTCACTAACACGGCTCCACAGTCACACTGCAAGTGACCTTTAATAGTCCTTTTTATTATTTCTCAACTAAAAATTTCAGAACACAATTTTTACTATAACCAGAAGCTACCATCTCTCAGGTCGTGGTACAGTATTAAAGGGAAAGCATCCGGTCATCCAGAAGGCTATTACGGTACTTCTCCCTTCTCCAACTATACACCTACGAGAGTCTGGGTTTTCGTCATATACTCCAACAACAACAAAAATACACATTACAACAGGCTGACTATAGAAACACAGATGAGAATTCAGCTGCCCTCCATCAAGGCAAGTAAAAGTAAAACCATGACTCTCTTCTCATTAAACATTTTTGTTTTGGTAAATACTCGTTTATCTTAGAAGTGTTTTACTTACAATAGCATAGAACGGATTTCTCGTTGCTAAAGTAAATCACTAAATGGTTTTGCATTATCTGGTGGAGCTCTAACTGGCAAGTACTGGTAGAATCAGCCCCACTAGTAAGAGCTGCTTGACTCTCACTATTAGGGACGGCAGGCAGCCCTGAGACGCAGGGAGGGGATCTCGCTGCAGAACCGCTGTGCTGGTTCTGGACAGCACCTGGATTCCCGGGGGTGGCTCTTCACCTGATCTTTACACCTCGCCAGGCACTGACGCCTGGCCTGCTGGCACCAGCGCGTCTGATGACCCCTCTGCGGTTCCCCGCCAGCTCCCCTCCCGTCCCCAGACTCCCCTAGGCGGTCCCTGCTCACTTTACGGAGCCACACCCAGCACCGGGCATTTGTAGAGGAGAGGCGGAGGCTTGCCCTTTCCTGGTCCGCACTGGTGCTGGGCCCAGGGCCTCCTCTCCCGGCTCCCTGCCACCGTGAACCAGCAGGAGAGGGACGCACGTCACCCTGCGCCGGGCCTGCAGGTGCCAGGTGCCCCCACACTCTGGCCCCATGTGGCAGCGTCTCACATCCAAGCCCCTGGGGGGGCTGGAAACACAGCTTCTCCATCCAGACTATTGGAGGGCGAGAGTATGAACAGATGTGCGCTGTTCTGCAGAACTTCCCCCAGCAAAACTGAACTCACCGCCACTTATTTCAGCTGGGGAAGGCCGTCCAGTATACTCTCTGGGGTCCCCTCTTCCCCGTCACCCCACCAGCCACACGACGCCCTGGCCTTCCCCGCAAGGAGACTCTGACGCCCTCGCTGAAGCCTCTGGCAACGGGGTGGACCGCCATCCCACGATATAAACCTGAACTTCATCAAGTACAGGAACAACGCATGAAGACCAGGCTGAGGGTTGTACTCAACAAAACCAAAAATGAGTTTTCTCAATGGTTCTCAACCAGGGACCGATGTAATGAAAAGGGTGCTTGAGGAAGGTGCCCGAGAAGTTCCGAGAGGCGTGGAGAGGACAGAAGTGCAGCCAGGAGAAGGCACATGAGCTAAGATGCAAGAGCAGCCAGGCCCCAGGGGCGCTGCCTTCCTAGTCCATGTTTCCTCTTAATCGTAAGAGGATAGCCTCTTAAGCACCATAGCCTCATGGTGTGTGGTCAGAGGCTAAGTTGAGACTTCACGAACTATAGCCTGCCAGGCTCCTCTGTCCATGGGATTTTCCAGGCAAGACTACTGCAGCAGGTTGCCACTTCCTTCTCAAGGGGATCTTCCAGACCCAGGGATCGAACCTATGTTTCCTGCATTGGCAGATTCTTTCCCACTGTTCCACCTGGGAAACCCTCACAGCCGCACACTCAACCAGTGATAGACGGCGGCAGCCCTTGTGCACAATGAGAAGCACCCCGGGGAGCCCGCACGGGGTCACCAGGGACGGCCTCATCTAAGGGAATTACAGAAGAGCCCCCCAAAATCCCCAGGTGCCTGCAGCGGGCCTCCCTGAATCCTTGTGCACCAGAGGATCACGTGGAATCAATCATAACCACGTGACAGAAAGACGGATGGCTGCTGCCGGCCTAGCGTCTGTTGTACAAGCACACACACGTACGCGTGCGCACGCGCACCAGAGAAACATTATGCCTTCCACGCAGCACCCTTGTCAAGAAACCCTTTCATCAGACAAGAAATCTTGGGTGAAAAATGAAAAGCCAGCATCGATTTCACTGTACAGCTGATTTTATTTACAAATAGAAGCCAGATAATCTTGTATTTAAATGGCAGAAGTTCCATCACTCATGATCAGAGAAGTGACATTTGAAATTTATAAAGTTTCACACTATGATTCAATCTCTTTTCCAAGGAGGAAAAGAGTCTGAAGTTTGGGAAGAAAGACTAAAAAATACGAGAACAGTATCAGAGTGGGGAAATGATGGATCGATACTAGCCTAAAATACATCTCCAGCAGGCACATTTCTCTTTACAAGACACAAAATGCGTCACCAGGCGGCCTGATGGGCTCTCAGATACGAGGTTCCCATTGTTCAACTCCAGGAAGGGCTTCTGCTTTCTCTGTCAATTTCTAAGTTAACAAGGGGAAAGGGGATCCACACAGTTTTCTTCAAGAGAATCGTCGTAGCTGATTTATGCGAATTAAACCCAAGGGCCTCAATCTTTTGTTGCCTGTTGTTCAGTCGCTGAGTTGTGTTCGACTCTTTGCAACCCCATGGACTGCAGCACGCCAGGCCTCCCCGTTCTTCACTGTCTTCCGGAGCTTGCTCACATTCATGTCCATTGAGTCGGTGATGTCATCCAACCATCTCATCCTCTGTTGCCCCCTTCTCCTCTTGCGCTCAATCTTTCCCAGCATCGGGTCTTTTCCAATGAGTCAGCTCTTGGCCTCAGCCTTTGGACGACATCTTAGAAAAGCCTCACTTGGACCACTTCAAATCAAGCAGCTGAGCTGAGGCCTTTCCAGCCGGTGGGGTCAGGAACACTTGCTGCGACAACAGCTCCAGAAAAGCCGAGGCTTGTGGGGGACGCTGGTGACAAGCGCATTGCCACGACCTGTCCTCTCGCTCCCGGCAGAAGGACCCCGCTCTGCCTGGGACAAAGGGGTCCCGGCGGAACCCAAGCCCCCTGCACAGCCTCCAGCCTGGGGCGGCTATCTGTGCAGCGGACCGTCCTGGAGTGAGTGACCACAACGAGCCTCAGATCAAAGCCCTGCCCCAGGCTTTCCCGTCCAGGCCTCACTCTGCCCCCGTGCGTGTCCCCGGAGCGGTGTTACGCTGCGTGTCCCCGGAGCGGTGTTACGCTGGGTGACCCGGTGCTCACACAACCCCACTCCATCCCAGAGTGGGCGCAGCCCCGGGCACCAGGCGGGCACCGTGTGGGCACCGGCTGAGCCAAATGGAACCTGCAGCTGGCTCAGGGGCCAGCCAGCTTCCTCGGCCACCTCCTGCCGCACACAAGGCCCCAGCCCACCTTCTGCCCCTGACCTGCCAACTGCGTCCTCCCCAGGCACCTGTGGAAGACCCTCCCCGCTGATACATGGGGGTGGAGGATTCCATCCAACCGCCAGGCCCTGGGTGACTGGCTCCTCCAGGAAAATCCCAGTCAGTGGCCCAGCTGACCGCGGGTCTAGCAGAACCCCACGCACAGGGGTCCCACGCATGCGGGCAGGATGCCCTCTGGCTCTCAGCTCCCTGTGGGGCCCAGCGCCACATCCTGGAATGCCAAGGTCCCTGAGCTGAGGATGGCAGGGCAGTGGGGCCAGCCACCCACACGCCCCATGTCACTCTAAATCCAATGCCCTTTAAGGGGCAGGTTCCTCTGAACTCTGTTCCACGGACAGTGAAATGGCTTGCCACAACGGGCTGTGCTAGGGCAGAACCACACAGTCACGGCTGCTGCAGAGAAGGAGGTGGGTCTAGTGGGGATCCGGCTCTGCAGGGGAGGGGTCCCTCCAAGCCTGTACTATGCCCCCCATGGACTCTGCAGGGGGGGCCTGGTCCCCCTGAGCCTGCACTGTGCCCCCCACAGGCTCCAGGGGCCCGTGTGCCCCCAGACAGACACACGTGTGCCCAGCAGCAGAGCCGGAGCTTCAGAAGGCTTGAGAGGCAGTGGCGGTGGTGGGGGCGGGACCCGGGCGGGCTCACCTGGATGCCGTCCAGCAGCCGGCTCATGCACCAGTACGTGTCGGCCTCCACGTTGCGCAGCGCATCCTCGGGCACCCGGGAGATGTCAGCGGAGTCCGCATCCTCGTCGTCTGCGGGGCAGCGGGGAGGAGACAGGGAGCCGTCAGGTCTCAAAGGATGTGCGTTCCACTCGCAGGAATGCCACCCCCCCCCATCATCACTTGTCGGGCCGCAATTTTAATACCTAATTAGTTGCAGGTAATTAATATTATGAATCCTCTCCAATTAATTAGCATAATTAATATATTGTAAATTGTTGCTTCTTGGGCATTTCACATCCTAAGAAGAGGGGACCTAAAATATATTACTTATTCCTAACCAAGATCGGAGTTTTCCCAAAAGATTTTTAAAAAATTCTGCTTCTAATGTATTCACAAATTCACTCAGTAATAAGCCCTCTAAAAACCTGCTTCCAAGGTGAGAGTTCCCAAAACCACACTGGATAAATACTGCTATGCTGTGAGCAAACACTAAGACAGCAAAAACACAGATGTGTTTGAAAGGAAGAACAGGCAATGGCGCTCTAAGTAATTTCTTCCTTCAAGTACAAAAATCTAATGAGAAAACATAACTTAAAAGTTTCAAAATGCAAAACAGATGCCTCATTGGAATGGCTTATCAGACATTGAAAAACCTGATTTTCGATCCTTAGAAAAATTGCTATCATCCAGCATAACACTCATAAATGTTTAAAAAATTGTGTCTCCTATTTCTCAAATTTTATTTACTTTTGTTGTATTCTGCAAATGTGCATGGCATCCTTGCAATGAAAATGTTCTTTAAGAAAAGAAACATTTCAGCCTGGAATATATTTAGAAAGTTTTAAGTGGGTAAAAACGACAGTGATTATAACAATGGTAACTGCTCGTATGTATCGAGCGATTATTATATATGCCGGGCACTCTTCACGTTTTAAACACACTGACTCGGTCATGGCCACCACTGCACCCCTGGGAAAATGGGGGGCAGAGAGGCAACAAGCAGCCTGGGAATGACGGGGTCACAGCGTGGACCCGTGTCTGCCCCCAAGCCTGGGCCAGGCCTCTGTGCTCAGGCACGCCTCGCACCTGCCAGCCGGACTCCTATCCCGCGCGAGGCTGGGGGAGCCGTCGTGGACACCCTCCCGCTCTGTTCTCTGTTCACAGCAGAAGCAAGTAAGAACAGGGCGGGCGTTTCCAGGCCAGCATCCCTGGGGCCTCAGGAGCCCAGACAGGCTGCCACGGCCCCGACACACGCACGCCCCTCGGGGCACAGCCTCACGGCCGCGTACACCACACAGCAGCTCTGGCTCCAAGTCCCTGCAGCCCCCGGGGAGCGCGTGTGTCCTTCCGCACCATCACCCGCTCCTTCATCTGCTCCCTCACTCACTCAACAAGCCTCTGTCAGTTTGGTCTGGGGGGTTCTTTCACTGAGTTGTAATTCAATTCAAGTGTACAATTCAGCGGGTCCTCGGATCTTCAGGGGTGAGGTAGCCATTGCCACTACCTAACTCCAGAACGTTCCATCACCCCAAAAACACCCCGAGCCCACAGCAGCCCCTCCCAGGTCCATCACCCCCAAAACACACCCCGAGCCCACAGGAGCCGCTCCCAGGTCCATCACCCCAAAAACACCCCGAGCCCAGCAGCAGCCACTCCCAGGTCCATCACCCCCAAAAACACCCCGAGCCCAGCAGCAGCCACTCCCAGGTCCATCACCCCCAAAAACACCCCGAGCCAGCAGCAGCCACTCCCAGTTCCATCACCCCAAAAACACCCCGAGCCCAGCAGCAGCCACTCCCAGGTCCATCACCCCCAAAACACACCCTGAGCCCAGCAGCAGCCACTCCCAGGTCCATCACCCCCAAGAACACCCCGAGCCCAGCAGCAGCCACTCCCAGATCCATCATCCCCAAAACAAACCCTGAGCCCGCAGCAGCCGCTCCCAGTTCCATCACCCCCAAAACACACCCCGAGCCCACAGGAGCCGCTCCCAGCCCTGGGGCCCCAGGCAGCGTCCCGCCTGCCCCACGGACTGCCTGTGTGGCCCGCTCAGGTCAGGGGACGCAGGCCACACAGCCTGTCCTCTCTGGCTGTCCTCACTGCACACGAGGCTTCCAGGAGTGACTGAGTCCTCCCTCCTTTCTGCGGTAGCATGACCTCCCACCGCATGGACCTCCCACACACAGGGTATGCCGTGTGTATCACCCCTCCTCGGGGGCCACTCCCAGCACCCCTACACTCCAGACCCCTGGGCGCAGAAGTGACGAAGAACCAACACCCCCGAGGAGCTGGTGGATCAAAGGGGGAAACGACTTAGAAAATGGGAAACGGCTGACGGGGCGGAGTGTCTGTTCACAGCCAGGCCCTGGTGGGCAGACCCACGCGGCCCGCCCTCCCCTCCAACGCAGGACTGGGGTGAAGTGTGCTTCGAGGCTGGCTCTGGGATCCCCCCAGCCCAAGGTGCCCATGAGCCTGCCCCCCGGGGGCTGCAGGCCTCCCTCTGCCCCCGGGCCGGCCCAGCCAAGCACCTTGCCTTGGAAATCAGTCCGGGCAGCCCGCGTGCCCACGGGCCCCGATCACCTGGGGGACGGAGCCCACCTGACTCCGCGCACGGTGTCGGGCAGGCGGGAAGCCACGCCCCCAGGGTTCCCTGCTGCGCGGCGCCCTCAGGGCCTCGGCCCGGCCAGCATGACGCCCTTCCTGCTGCAAGACCGAGTTCACAGGCGGGAGTGGAAGTGGCCTCCTCGGGGCCGAGACTTCCTTGCTGGGAAAACTTCCCCTGAGCCAGAGCAGAGCTGACCGCTTTCCAGCCTCAGGGCGCCGCGTCCACAACAACCTGAGGGCTCCTTGGGGGTGTCTTTCCTCCACATCCTCGTTTTTGAGGGTCTTCAGGACATTGACCTACGGGGCCTCAGCCCCTCTTCGGGTCACAGAGGAGGCAGGGCCGCCCTGGGCCAGGACGGCGGGGAGAGGGCGGCTGCGGGGGGCAGGCGCGAGCCTCGGCGATTTTTCTTGGTCTGTTTAGCGGACTTATTATGTGATCCCAGGAAATGTCGGAGGCCTTTTCCAGATGTCACTCCCCGCAACAGGCCATCTGTCCCTCTCCAACGTAACGAAGTATTGGCATTTAACTCAGGCAGCCCCCACGCCGATCTGTCTTCTGCAGGTCAAGAGAATCAGAATGACCCCTGCTGTCAGAATGAGATAAATACCCCCTGCCAGAGAAGAGCGCTGGGAACAGCGCAGAACTGTCCAGAAGCCCGGGGCTGGGACTGCAGTCAGAGTCGAGGGACAGAGCACAAAGCCCGGCGCCTGCCCTGGCAGGGGGCACAGGTGACAGACCGCTGGCGGTACCAGCGGGCGCGGCTGGACCAGACACTAACAGAAAAGCAGGCGCTGCAAGGCTCTGTCTGAAAGAGGCCGCGTACTGAGCCCCGGCGAGTTCACACCGTGGGGCGGGCGCCAGCTCTCGGGGTCAAGACCTCCTGACCCCAAGGGTGCGCACCTGCCCCCAGAGCTTGCCCGCTGCCCTTACGGTCCGTGGGGCAGTGGGGCAGGGGGGCAAGGGGTCTGCGCCTCAGGTCAGCGGGACTCAGTGATGGCAGAGGCCGAGGCCAAAGAGGCGGGACACGGAGGTGAGGCATCCCGGCCACCGGCCCAGGTTCGGGGCAGAAACAGGACCCAAAGGGCAAAGCTGATAAACTCACAGGAACAGGACAGCAGACGGACCCGACCATCAAGGACGGACGTGCGGCCTGCGTAGCTACACGGCAGGGGGTGCATCCAAGCAGCGGCTCTGGGTGCCGCCCCGGGACCTGGGCCGTGTGGACATCCTGACCCGACCCGTGAAGACGCTGCAGGTGAGGGGAGTGAGAGGCTCGGGGCCCCCAGGATGGAGGGGGCCCCCACACAGCCTCCCCAACTCCAGGCAGGGCTGACCCCACCCACCACCCCAGGGAGCCAGAACACTCAGGGCCCATGGTGGACTCTGTAAAAGAGCATTTAGGACAAACACGCTACTTAAAGTGACAGAATGTAAACCAAACCGGTTCATCAAAACCCAGACTAGATTCCATGTCTTACTTTTATATTTTAATCACAAAGGGACATTAACGCCGGAGTGAGCAACGCCGTCTCGAAGCTGCACCCAGCCCTCCTCCCCAGCTTGTCCACACACCTCGCTTCGGGGCCGGGCCTGTACCCCGGGGACACCAAGGTGGGGCAAGATCTCTAACCCCACGGGGCCCTCAGAGTGCCGGGGGGCAAGCGCACAGCTAACTCCCGGGAGGCGACAAAGACGCTGACTGCCACAGTCCCGGGCAGAAGACCCGCAGTCCCAAGTGGACCACAAGTGAACGCAAAGGGACAGAACAGTAAAGACAGACACTTAATTAAAAACAATCTCACCTGCCTCCTTAGATCACAGAAAAGCTTTTGGGGATGGGTTGCATAAATTCTTTGAAAATGGTGTCTTGCCGTATGATTGTTTAAAAAGCAATTTGAAAAACAACCCCACTCTTTATCAACAGCTCCATTTATACGGAAAACTCCAGAACTGCAGGTCAGACAGGACACGAGAACATGGCTCAGACGGCGCCACAGAGACCCCGGGAGGCCCCGCATGTGACTGGTGGGGCAGGAAACCACCACTCTCTGTTTTCCAGGGAAGGGTACCGAGTAAGAAGACAGCACCCACTTCCACAGTGCAGTGATTTAGCAATGGGGGTTGGTGATGCTGTTTAGCCACTAGGAGAGTTTAACTAAAAGTCTGTCTTTTCCACAGACAAACAGCCCTGGAGTGAAAAGTTCCCCATGGTGGTGGTACTGCCCTTGCAAACCGTGACAGGCTTCCGGAGTGTTTGGGGGTCAGAAGGATGAGGGTGAGGGGATCCGCTGGCTTTCGGGGATGGGGTGCCAGCCGTCCTCCACCAGACACAGGAAACGGTTAGAAAAATGGAAGAGACGGAGCCTCGTAAGGAGAAACCGCACAGGGGTGTAAGGGCTGCTTTGAAACATCCAAAACTCCTTCTTAGGAAATAAAGGGCAGGACTCTGCTGTGCACGTTTCCGTGTCCAGAAGAAAGAAAAGGT